GTTGCTTTGATCTTAAATGTAGTTCCGTTGTAACAACAATTTTACAACCATTTAAATTGATGTTGGATTTCAACAGAAAGTTCCCATATCACAGGCATTGATTTATTGACAACAGCAAAAGACTCAAAGATCACGGAACTGAAAGATTCTCAAATTTATCTGAAACTTCTTTCAAAGGAGATAAGAGTCCCTAATAAAGTGCCATTATCCCCAAAGTCTTTTCTTGAAACAGATATGGCCGCCATAGCAGCCATATTGGATCAGCTTACCCTGATAACAGTAACAAAAGGGTGTACATCTTGCTATCTGACAGGGCTCCAGCCTCTTTAGTGTTGTGCTGTGATTATAGATGACCCTGTGTCAGCACTGACCACAAATTACAAGATTTACCATCCTCTTTCATCCACAGGTGTTTTTGGATGGGTCAAACTCATGGACAATTTGGTACATTTTACTTGATTTATTAACCTAAAGAAAGCACATGAATATGCATAGCAAGAGATTGTCTTTCCCATTATTTGGAAAAATGTGCTTCATTAAATATTTACACTAATGGCACCTTAGCGGGAAAGATGATATTTAGTGATAATATGTAGTTATTTCATATCATATTTGTTATTTTTAATAAGTTTTAGAAAAGCTTAACATACAATTATCAAGTTTTAACTGTATGGAACAACCTATGAAATCCTTGAAAGATGCATTGAAATAAGTAAAACAAATTACAAAATGTTTCTTTCATTTCAACAATGAATGTGGAACATTTATTCCATCTGATCGATGAAATTCAAGATAGAAGACCTGACTCCTAATCAACATGAAAAGGTTTCTTCTTAACACAAGCTTTTGACTTGCAATCATGCAAATCATACTTATCAGATTTACAGAGTAAATAATGAAATTGATTACTCCCGATTCACCAGGAATTAAGTCAATATGTAACCCAGCTTGACTGGCCCTGTAAAAGACTCATTGTTAATCCTAATGACTTCATTGTTCCCCGTCACCTCGTGGACGGCCAGCCATGTGAAATAAATCTGCTTTTCTGATTGCACAATGAAGGACTTGAGTGAGTATTAACATAGATCCACAGATGCCCGGTTGTTGGAGACACATTGTATATTTCCATGTACGTTTAATATTGTTCTGGCCACCTGGGGGACCGTGAGTGATTCATAATGAGAGGTAGTTTTAATACAATAGCATTAGTGTTGTATGTCAGTTGTAGGCCTTTGTTCAGGACATGTATCTGTGTATGGTATGCAACTGGTATTATTGTGGGGACGTGTATGTGTGGTATATGTCACTGCTCAGCGTGTTGCATGGAAATACATGTACTTTACATGTCACTTGTTAACTTGATTTATCTTTTTTAATCTTGAATAATGTATTTTATCCACATTTTATTTCAACAAATTGGATTTTCTTGGTAATATCAATATATGGTTATGATATTTAAAAAAAAAAATTTACACTGAAACATAAAACAATAAAGAAGTAGTCATCTATAAAGTATCTTGCCATTATTGTATTCAACAACTTCTGAAATGTCAATCAAACAGATAATTTCTCCAAGTTGAAGTAAGTGCTCCCGGTGTATTTGATATGAGTAGTTGTACCCAGTCTGTCCATGACAACACAGGAATGTATCCTCCAAGCTGATACACTATCACTGTGCAGGATTAGGAGAATTAAATGTACGTGTGAATAGAGAAAATGACCATTTAATATGAACAGCATGACTTGCAGGGGCTAACTCTACAGCTGATAGGAGTATAGTCTCAGCTCAGCATGGTAACCTGACTTACTGGGGGATATACCTGGGGGACAAACTTGTTATTTTGAGGGGGATTTCTCAAGTGAATCAGAAGTTAAGATAGGGGACATTGTGGTTAGATACCTACAATAAACATTGCTAGTGTTTTTATAAAGGTCCAGTGTGTTTGTTGTAATGGTAAGTGATCACATGGTGACACTACCTGGCAGTGATAGAAGAGTGATGGATTCTACATGAAACTTTACTGCAGATGATTTGATTCAACCTGACTGTATTTTTCTATATATAATAGTTTTCTCGTCACTATATTCTTAGCAGTTAATGTTTGTGTTTGTCATAAGGTAATTATGTACAAACATTTTCCATGTACATTCAACATTTAGAGAAATTATATCAGCTTTCACACAACAAATCCTATAATTCCATTTCACTTAAGTGAACAAGATTTTGTCAGTTTTGTTCAACCTCCAGTCAATTAGCCTATAATGTAAATCCAAATGTAACTGAATTACCTTCCTTTGAATTCCAGCCATTACTGTGAGAGCATAATATAATCCGTGTACACAAACCATCTCTGTGGCTGTCAGACTGTTAATCTCAACTCAAGTTTAAATTGACCATTAGGTGATAAATAAGAGTCGGATGTTGCCATCAGTATCAAGATGTGGTCCCGAGTTGTGTTCACATCTGTGTGAGAACCTTTAATCTTTTGTCCCCAGAAAACAGTCTACAGTTTCAGCTTCATTCTTTGCTGAGATTTGTTTTTTGCTGTCCGGTATTGGGTTTGCCGACAAGGGTCGGCATCTGTAATGTGAACTTGCAGGTTTGATTAAAGATTTGCTTATTGACTCAGGTGGAGAAAAGGATGTCATGAATCAATTAACTGCAATGAAATGTGCACCACTATGTCAAATTCATGTCAGCTTCAGGGGCGGTGGGGTAGCCTAGTGGTTAAAGCATTCGCTTGTCAAGCCAAAGACCCGGGTTCGATTCTACATGGGTACAATGTGTGAAGCCAATTTCTGGTGTCCATAGCCATGATATTGCTGGAATATTGCTAAAAGCAGCGTAAAACTCACTCACTCATGTGATCTTCAACTCTGAAATGCATACCTACAAAAATGAAACAGACATGACCATGTTATGTGAGCTGCCAATGAAACAGATTTGGCAACTACTGATGGGCTTAATTCAGTTGTTTCATAACAAAGTACACAAAGTTATAGCAGTCAGTTCCTGGTAGAAATGTAACACTCAGGCAATTTAATTTGTTGTGAACCAAATGTGCTGGCACTAAAAAATGCACCTGTGACCATCCCAATCTACAAATTAGAAATGAGATGGTTGTCCCCGGTATCAGATGGAGTGGTGTTGATAGCGTAATGAAATGAGTGTCACTGGCTGTAGCAGATAAGAGTTACATCATCACAGGCTCACTGGGACACCAGGTGTCATTAACCTATCTCTAGTTATTGTTAGCGTTGTCTGTTACCTCTGTAACACCCAGCTGTGATAAGACAACTGCCTACAGCAGTGATGGACAGTTGTCTATTTCAGATAGGCGTGTGGCCATTGCACCAGTAATTACCCGAACAGTTCCAGTGTACAGCAGACAGACACAAGTGGGGATATGTGTTTAGCTGATTGTCTAGTGATGTAGAAGCTTTAGTGGGAGATGGCAACATGTGCAGGACTCGACAGATGTACATTTCAACAAAAATATTCATTTTTTGAAAGTGTGATATTTTTCTACACATTTTCTACACATGCTTAGGCTTCTGTTACTCATATATAAATGATTCATGTCATAAACACAGAGAAAAGTCTGTGTATGAAGGCGTCACCATGCAGGAATAAATGTTGATATCAGGACATACATTTCATTGTGTCTGGTGTATATTTTACAATTATCCTGTCTAGTTGCATCCATGTCCCTCACCCCCATGAAAAATCCTCATGAAGATTTAACTCTGATTTTATTTGAATTTTATACCTCCCCCCAGCAAAGATGAGAAGTGTTCCCATAGGGGGCTATATGCATTACTTGTGGTGTTGTTGACTCGTCAGTTGTACGACACCTTGTCTCACCACGACAGGTAACAATGATGTTTGTAGCTAGGATGAGAAATTCATTCCATGTCCCCAACTTCTGTCTGTATTGCTGCAGTGTTATATGTGTTTGTTTGGGTATCAGAGGAGGAGTGTTGTAACTGATGTAGTGTCCAGTCAGCTGACCAGTGCCCCTCACAGGATCGCAATAGATCCAGGTGGTAGATCTTCCATGTGAGAACACCACAACAATTTAGGTAGGGGGTTGGGGGAAGTGATGTTTTAACATATTATTCTATGCAGCTCAATAATGAAAATCATTAACTATCACTCAGAAATAACACATCATTTTTTACCAAAAATATATATAAGTCACTATATTTTCTGTCAAAGAGATTATAAATATTTAGATTGTGATAATGTGCTGGACTTTTTTTAAACACAAAGTAAAGCTGTGTATATTATGAATTATTCTAAAATATTTTCTTTAAAGTTATATAATGCTTGTAAAGAATTATATATATGGAGTTGACATGTTGAAGGTATTTACAATCCATATATCACATGATAATTGAACCTGTAAAGAGATGTAACAAATCTTGTGTATTGCCCTCATTGTTCAGGCATCATAAATGTAACAGCCCTAGTAACACGGCTATTAAGCCAGATTGCAGCATGCTACTACCCCCAGTACAGCCCTGGCTGGTGGGGGCACCCTGCAGTAGTCTCTGGTCAGCATACCCCACAGTAGCCAGTGGCTAGGGTGTCCACTCAGCTGGAACATCTGCCTAAAGCTGTCAATTAGAGCCCCAATCTGGGAGGGCTGTTGAGGCCAGCTCAGGCGTGGTGGCTGTTTGCTGATTGGCCGACAGGCCAAGGGGTGGGCTGAGCTAGGCTGAAGGCATTTGCTGGTGGAGAAAGCTCAATTACCAGTACGCTTCAGCCTAGGTACAACTATGTGTGTGTTCGTGTGTTCCTAAACATTACGCTAGGGCCGGGTGTTTTCTTATCATCTGATGAGCTATGAGGTATGCTGTGTTCATTTGTCTGTGCTGTCTGTATCACTGACTGTCAATATTGTAGTGGTCATGTGCAGGTGAAAGGATTTAGTTGTTAATTACTGGTTGTGTGTTAATCAGCAGGTCAAATACACTTGTATACTTGTGCATTTCAGATTGAAAGAGTTACAGTCGGGGTGAAGTGGACAACTGAAATTGACAACTGAAGAGGAGATACCACAAATGAGATAATTCACTTTTGGAAAAAAGTTCTCTGCAGTTTTCAAGATGGATGCAGGAAGATTGAGACTTGTAGTTGTGGTGTTGTTTTCTGTGATTGTTTATGTGACTGGCCAGGATGTAGAATATTCAATACTGGAAGAAGCAAAAGTTGGATATGAGGTCGGAGACATCCCTCGTGATACCAACCTGAATGTGAACCCAGGTGCCAAGCTACAGTTTAGTATACTCACAGAAGGGAACCGATACAGCGAACTGTTTCTCATAAACTCTGCAGGCATTCTCTCAGTTAAGTCAAGAATTAACAGAGAAACACTCTGCCCATTCCAAATAACTTGTAAACTTCAAATTGAAATTATTGCCAGGTCGACAGCATTAGATATTTTTCGTAATTTGAAAATAGAAATCACAGTAAAGGATATTAATGATAATGCACCAAAATTTCCTGTTCAGTCACGGAAGTTAGAAATTCCAGAATCATCAACTATTGGATCTTCTTTTACCCTCCCTGGTGCCTCTGACAATGATACTGATCCCAATAACTCTCTACAGAGTGTGGAAATTATTCCAAGCAATGTGCCATTCCGGGTAGAATTCACCAAGAACCTTGATGGGACATCCGTGGTCCTGATTATAGTGACAGAAAAGTTAGATCGTGAGACTACCAACACCTATAATGTGAAACTGATGGCTGAAGACGGAGGAGTGCCACCTCTCAGCAGCAGCATGGATGTTCTGATAAGCATTACCGATGTTAATGACAATTCTCCAGTCTTCAGCCATTCCATATACAATGTTACCATCAAGGAGAACACAAATTTAGAAATGGTCATTCTACAAGTCACTGCAAATGATGAGGATGAAGGTGAAAACGGCAATGTTTTTTACAGACTGAGTTCACATCAAGCTGATGAAATCCATCGTTATTTTGCAATGGATAACATGAGTGGAAATATGGTCCTGAAGCAACAACTGAATAGTGGTCACATCAAAGTCATCATTGAAGCCAGCGATCGAGGAACACCACCAAAAATATCACAAGCTTTCGTAGAGGTTGAAATACTGGACACAATAAACAACCCACCGGCTATAACTATAAATATTCTGTCAGAGACTGGAACTGCTAAAGTGCTGGAATCTGTTCGCATTGGTTTCCCTGTGGCTCACATAAAGATTCTAGATCCTGACACCGGCGCCAATGGTATAGTGACATGTTTCAGTCAGACAGCAGGCTTTGATCTGCAGCCACTTGACGACAAGGAGTACAAGGCTGTAGTAGCCAAACACCTGGATTATGAAACAACTACAAATTATAAAGTGATGATTTTCTGCCGAGATGCCGGAAGCCCTAAACTTAATGCCTCAGCAGAGTTTAATGTGGAAGTTTTGGATGCTAACGACAATTCTCCTGAGTTCATGCAGAATGAGGTTGTGCTGAACATTGCTGAAAACAATGCAGTTGGAGATATGATTGTCCAGCTTGGCGCCACTGACAAGGATTCAGGTATCAACAAGAAATTAACATTTTCTGTGTTGCCAGAGGCACGTGTTAATTTCACAGTTGACACCAACATCCCCATCGTCCGAACAAAGATCAGATTTGACCGAGAGGACACGGCACAGTATCAGTTCCATGTTCTGGCCATTGATGGTGGTGTGCCTTCAAGAACAGCCACCGCAACCATTACCGTCAATGTCCTTGACATCAATGATGAGCAGCCACAGTTCCTGGAGAAGGAATACAGGTTTCACATCCCAGAGAATCTTCCCTTGGGTATGGGGGTGGGGAACGTGTCAGCCTTCGATCGGGATACAGAGGATGGGGGCATATTCTCCCTCAAACTATCACAGCTCACCTCAACTGCCCATCTGCCATTTACCATTCTCCAGAATGGAACTATTCTGACAACAGAGGAGCTAGACAGGGAGGAGAAGAATAAGTACATCTTCAGTGTAGTTGCGACAGACCATGGTACCATGCCACTGTCAGGGTCGGCCCAGGTGACTGTTGTTGTTGATGATGTTAATGACAACGACCCATCATTTGTGTTCCCCAACGACGACAACTACAGCGTCAGTGTATTCATACCCTCTAAATCTGGCAGTGTTGTGGTACGGGTCCAAGCTACTGACAGGGACGATGGAAGTAATGCCCAAATCAAATACACGTCTAGAGACTTGAACTCATCAGGATTGTTTGAAATGAATAACACCTCTGGTGAAATCTACACGACTAGGGACATTGACACGAGCATGATCGGCACCTACTACCTGGCCGTTATGATTTCAAATACAAACCCAGATGCCAAATCTGTGTCCCAGAGACTGAAGATATTAATATCACACCGCACACAACCAGGAGATTTCTTGCAGTCTAGTGACCAGTACATCATTATCGTCATTGTCCTGGTGTGTTCCACGTTGTTTATTGCGGCAGCTATTCTGGTAGCTTTATGTTATCTCCGCAAGAGGGACAAGGATCATCAGCTGAAGAAGCAGTGTCAACAGGAACCACTGAGTTACAGTCTACAGACCCCAGTCAGCACCGTTGATGGAGTGACCAGTACGGACAAGGCCACCACTGGTCATCAGAACGTCCTCAGATCAGACAAGAAGGCTGACCTTGACACATCTTCCAGCACCGTTAATGGGAAAATCATTTCAACGGGAAACTGGTAAGTTTGAAATTTTCCTTATGATGTTTTTATTAATTATTGATGGAAGCTGAAACAAGAATGGAAAGTAGCTCATGTAGAAACAGTTATTTATTAAAGATATTACTATGATGATAATATGATGGCTATAACAAACAGAATGACAAGAATTAGGGATGTGCACTGTAATATATATGTGAAATAATACATGAGATTTATAGAAACGTTACAAATCTGTTGAAAACACAACTTGAAGGTCTTGCAATGGGTCCCTACCTTACCCCAACCCCCACCCCCAGCTGACTGTCCCACCCCTTGCTACAACTAGTAAAACAGTTTTACCACCTTATGCATGAAAAAGCCAACATCAAAGGAAGTTAGCTGACAAGGTACAATGTTCCCAGACTAAAGGTGTGAAACTCCCTACTCCTTTTTCCCCAGTGTAATTACATGAAACCTGTCTATAGACAATAGTCAACCTCTTGTCTCGTTCAAAAACCAACATTTCAGTCGCCAGTAGCATTTCCAGTAGCTTGTCACTTGTCGATTAACATGACACCTGTGAAACTTTGTCACCACATCCCAGACTGAGGCTGTACCTGCGATTCCCCTGGGACAATCTACACAATGTCCTCTCCCCACAGACAACATTCCTGAAAAAAAACCATGTTGAGAGAGAAAGTGCACCCCTCGCCCTAGGAAGTCTCAACCCAAACAAATACAGGGGGGCTGCCAGTTGGGGGCTGCATCGCCTCCCTTCCTCTGTAATGTTAGGTGACACAGAATGATGAAACAGGGAAAAACACAGGTTGCAGAAATACCTCTGAACCATTCTTTCAGTTGAGATGAAAATTGAGTTTCATGATTAAAAAGTTGGGTTTTTTTTCAAAATCCTTGTCTGTTTCAAATAATTTCATCCTATCAGAGATAACAGCAAAACCCTTTCTTCATCTAATCCAACATTTGGCATGAACAAAGTTAATGTTAGAGGCAGATTGTCATATTAATTCAAAATGCAAATCTACAAACAAAACTAGTTGTTCAAACCAAGGTAAAAAAAGTGATAAAAACATCTTCATGTGAAGTAAGATTTATCCGATTAAGAGATTTCTCAACACAATAGAACAAAGTGTTTAAGTTTCTTAAAACATCTAGTTATATTTTCTCACACAGTTTTAAATTTTTAAACAAATGCAATAGGGAAAGTAAAGAGCTGGAGTGTTTCTTTGTTTGGCTGGCGTCTTGTCAAGGGGAAATGTGCAGGGGGAACTTTGCTATATTTATTTCCAAGACGGAATAGAGCACATGGTGGCAGGGTCTGTGTTTGTCCCAGGCAGGATACATTGGCGCATGCAGCACATTTGCTGGGATCAATTAGAGATAAGGACAAACTCAGAAACATACAGCTGAATGGAAAAACAGGTATCCTGTCTGTTCAATATGTCAGGACAATTGTTCCAATGTGTAATAGTTTACATGTGATGTTGGTAGACATTTGAAACATTCACATGGAGAATAATACTCATTCATGTGTCAATATGGAAATCTGTATATTCATAGGATTGGTGTTTATGGATAACTACTGTCAAAGGATAAGTGTCTGAATTTATAAAATATTGATATTTCTCAGCAATATTTCTGTATATGATAATCCAAGGTATATCCGCACAAATCTTGTATTTGACACGTCCCAGTGAAATGAATGTGCCATATGGTGAAATTAACATCACCTGATGACACTTAATGTCTTGCACCTCATCCATCAAGGTTCACATCAGAATGCATCGAGAGATGTAAATCCCAAATATTTTTATCTTCATCAACTTCTACATTAGTGGAGAACTTTATGTGGAAGTAAACCCAGTTTATAATCGTGTGGTCTCTCAGGCCCTAAACTTAATCCCCAAATACCTGCTGAAGTTATTGGCTGGAACAGTGGCCGAGAGAGCCCCATGACATGGGGACCCTGGGTGACATTATGTTGGGGGGAGTACCAGCAGTGATGGATGGGGACTCACCTGTGGGATGAAGCTACTGATGTCTTTGTAAGTCTGGTACAGATGAGGATTGAAACATTCTACCTTGACATGATTCTTGCAGTGGTATACACAATACTTCATTCATAGAGATGTTCTCTTTATGTTTTCAGTTCATCCAGTCATGATATTTGTAAATACAGAATATCCAGTCAAGTATTCAATCTGATCTTGTTTGTTACAACTCTGTTTGAAGCTAGTATATTTTGTAAATGGCAGTTATGTGGAAATTATAGTAGCTTCTGTTTCTATTATGATGTAGTTTCATGCTAGCACATAGGGCTGGGACGATTCACCAATGCATCGATGCATCACGATACATTTATGTTCGCGATACAAAACGATACACAACTTTTTTTCAAAACAGAACAGAATTCTTTCAAGGTGTATGTATCGTGATACGTATCGTATCGCAGGTAAAATATCGCGATATGTATCATATCGTGACATAGTGTATCGTCCCAGCCCTACCAGCACATATTCCTGGGGAGGTTTTACATTGGTCAGATATTCATTTTGGAGGGAACAGCCTAAACTGAACATATTGCATGGGGAAGAATTATCCTGGCCCAGATCTTCCCCATCTCTAACCACAGGTTCAGACAAGCCACTTAAATCTGATTTTTCTTATTTCCAGTTGAGTTATTATTAGGAGTGATCATGTTTTCATATTTTTTTAATACAAATTATTAATTTTCAAAAAAGGTGCAAAATATGAATTTAGTGAACCAAATCAAAATTATTTTAGTTTGACATGTGTGTCTTTCTGCCTATTCCACACTTACTCCTTGCTCATACAACCCAGTGGGGTGGTGGGGTAGCCCAGCGGTTGTTCATAATGCCGATGGCCCGTGTTCAATTCCCTACATGAGTACAATATGTGAAGCCCATTTTCTGGTGTTCCCTGCTGTGATATTGCTGGAATATTGCTAAAAGCAGTGTTTAACCATTCTCACTCACACAACCCACAGTTAATACTACTTCCTTCAAATCAGATCTTATTGTGAGTATGTTTTCTTTCTGCACAGGGGCGGTGGGGAAGCCTAATGGTTAAAGCATCGGTTCGTCACGCTGAAGACCCAGGTTTGAATCCCCACATGGGCACAATGTGTGAAGCCCATTTGTGGTGTCCCCCGCCGTGATATTGCTAGAATATTGTTAAAAGCGGCGTAAAATCCAACTCACTCACTCTTTCTGCTCATCATGTACAAACAGAAAGTGGAATGTTTGCCAGGTGTGGACTAAGTCACTACCCATCTCTGTTCTGGCTAGGGGAATGTGTCAGCCTGTTTCAGCAATCAAAGTGTATTGTGAAATCTACTTAGGGACAGGAAAACTGGGTACAAATCTTGTCTTTACCCTCTTTGTTTATTTCATTGACAAATTTAAGGACTAAAATATGTTGAAATTTTCTTCTTAAATGTATTACAAAATGAGACGTAAAAAAGTGTCAGTTCAAACAAATTTTTCCAGCACAGAACCGTACTGTTATTGTCCTGGTATCAATGAAATGTAATTATCAGCATTGCAACAAGACCCGCCATGACAAAGGCCTGCTATGTTAACGGCGTGTTAATTGACAGTCAAATGCTGTGTTCAGTATTTATTTGTTGACATGGCGTTAGCTAATTCCTCATTGATATGAATTTGTTGATCAGCAGGGGTGTTTAAGGATGCCTGGTTATTTATTCCACTAATCCCGTCTCTAAATGCCGAAGTTATCAAGATAAATCCATGTGTGTGTTACGCTGACAAACTGTTGAGACAGCACTGACCCATGGGGAGGTTATAATTGAACTGTGAGCCCCGTGAAACCGACACCCCAATCATGATATCAACGTGCTTATCTTGTCACTCAAACTGTACAACCTCCATTCACCAGCAAATTTTGGTCAAATTGAAATTCATATCAAGTGCCCCCAACTATAAAGCCTGTAGTTTCTGCAGACCTCGGTGTCAGGCAATCTGTGGACTGTCGTGTGATCGTTGTGTGATCTGTCATGGGAAATGTACAACTAATCTGGATGATTATGTGGAACTATCAAACTATCAGCTTGTCAGATGCAGCTATCCACACCGTTGTAGGGGGTTGCAGATCACATGTATTTCAATGTGTCAGTGTTGCACTCAATAATCTTCAAAGTACAATTCACCTAGCAATCTGTACCTCATCTTATCAAAACTAACTTGTTTCTGGAAGTAAATTATATGTCAATATACAAAGGTAAATCAGTCATTTGCTGAAGCCAACCCAGATCAGGAGCTGGGGTCAATGACATTATATGGATAGAACAAAATGTCATACAAAATACTAAGGATTTCGAAAATGGACACTGTGTTATTTTCTGATTAAATAATTGCTCAGCTTTCTTGGGTACATGACAGCACCTGTAGCAAGCAGTTGGCCTTGCTAGTTCCAGATGAATGGATTGCTCATCGTTAGCTATGTTTGCTAATGTAGATATGACATGAGACAGTTAATTGTTTCAAAAGGCCATACGGATCAGTTCACTCAGAAGTATTTTATAGTGCCATTTTCATTCCCATGTCGTGAGGAGCACCTGCAGTGATTTATCGCCACCAGATGTGTGTGTGTGTCCACAGAATGCCACTGTGTATATCAATATAGCTGCAAAAAAGCAGGTAAACTTAATTTGCTGGCAAATTTGCTGATACAGGTTATGAGCAGTTTGGTTGACTTTATTTGTAGGTGCCCTCCCATGAAGCCCCAGCCAACACCACATATTCCACCAATGTAGAACATGTTGTACCAGACAGGGAACATCAGCGCCAGAACCAACTCATGTCCTTCCGTTTACACCAGGCTCTACAGAGACTGAACAGTGAAACCAGCACCCAGGAACAAAACAAGATCATGGCAGCTAATGCGAAGGTGAGCAAAAGAAAGAAGGAAATGAATAAATAAATAAAATAATAAATAAATAAATAAATAAATAAATAAATAAATAAATAAATAAATAAATAAATAAATAAATAAATAAATAAATAAATAAATAAATAAATAAATAAATAAATAAATAAATAAATAAATAAATAAATAAATAAATAAATAAATAAATAAATAAATAAATAAATAAATAAATAAATTGCACTGAGTAACCCTTAGTACATGATAAAAGACCCGCACATGCCACATATAAATAACTAAAATCACAAAGCCATTGGGACTGCTTACTACCTTGACACTAATGAAAACCTCTTATTCCCTCTCAAGTATATCTGCCTATTGTCTTCTGCAAACCAGAACTCTTTCAGCTTCGGCATTCTTCCCAACCCAATTGTTGCCATACCACCTTAGCGGTCAGTGTTATTTGAAACCACATTACAAATTGATGGTTTTTATTTGCTGTTGAACCTTATCATCTGGACAATGGGCAGTAAAACACAGGTAAAGGCAAGGTGAGCGGGGATACACTCTAGGTGTGAATCAGAGTGACCCTTGTTTCATGCCTCGCTGCTTTATGACACCTCACCTGCCCACTAATTGATCTTTGTTAATTAGATTCAACCAGGTATGACACCTACTTGGCGATTTATCACAACCTATTGAGAAAACAATTACACAGTGGGAACTTGGAACTACTTCTTTGCACCTTTGTGTGAAATCCATTAACACACAAATAATGACTGGCACTGTTCTTCCATATTTAGTCAAATAATATAATTAGGTTGCAGAAATGATTGATTATCGTCATGCTTTAATACTTATGTTTTAGTCCACAAACAGTAACTGTCATGATAAATACTAAAAAATAATGTTTATGGTCTTTTCACAAGTTGTTTGAATTTAGAAATGAATTATGTATCTTTTCACAAGCTGTTTGAATGTAGAAGAAAAAATCACACTAAGTCAGTTTCAAATATGAGTCCATCTCTCTGAAACCTGACAAGCCAGCGCCAGAGATATTGGCCATCTTGTGCTACATATCCACCACAATGAATGCAAGCTCCTGCTCTCCACTTGAAAACATTTACAAAAACAGCTCAGAACCTTTTTCCAATAAATGAGGGAAAATAGATTGACAAGTAGACAATGGTCAATCATAGTGTTTTGTGTTTGAGTGAGAAGGCACCATAATTAGAACTGTGGGGGATTTCATGGCCTGTAACCCCCTGACAACTCAATCTGTGTGATTGTTGTGATACAATCGGGGAGGAAGGGGGAGGTGTGGTGAGAGGTTGCAGTGTCAGGTAAACTCCCTTGTTAGTGGCGGCCTGCAGGGTTGGCCTTTCTCTCCTTGCTATTTATCACACTGTGTGCCGACAACACGTTGTATCATTTAGAAAGCTTAGAGTTGTGTAAGTTTGTCAAAACGTTTCAAAAGTGTAAATATTTAGGTATAATGTGTCAACATTATATGACAGGTAAAAATTATGTGGGATGAACACATCTTGCCTGTAATAATACGTTGTTGTCAGTGCTTTGCAATTTACAGCAGACATAGATGAGAAGCCTTGGATATGGCATTTATATATGTTGTATAAGAATAATTCCTGTAACATTATGAAAAAATTAATGTCACATAATAATCATTGCATTGTATATTAAAGCAAAATGATATTTCAGTTGAAGTATGACCCCCATTAACTAATGAATTTCTTGACACAAATTGTGTGCCATGTAAACTTTTCTGCATCTGCTTACTATACCTGCCTGTTAGTCTGTCCATAACCTACACATTCAGCTTGGTGCTAGTGTCTTGCAACTTCAGTTGTGGCAGTCCTCACCACGATCGACTATCATAAACTTGATTGCGTTGTAAATCAGGTGAATCACAACCCACCTCTCCCCTCCACAACAACTATGTCTATACCATGCAGTGTTTAGCACCAAGTTTAGTATATTTACACGAGATATGTCCAGTTGAAGTGCAGGAAATGACCAACAATAAACCAAATATGCTGAGCTCTAGGCCTCAGGTATGCCTGTTGTGAGGAGACGAGAGCAACTCTACATGCACCGCTAACAGTGAAGTGTTGTCATAACTGCCTCCATACTCACGGTACATCTTTATGATACATAATGCTGGTAGCCCGGACACAGGTGAGGGATATTCAGGAGGGATGTCAGTATCACACATGTATTTCCAGCAGGGACAGTTATTCAATCATTAATACATGAGTAACAGTTCAAAGTAAGTTGCAATAACAAAATACAACTGAGGTGTCATCCATATTATCCAGTCTTTCTTGTCCTACAGACTTCTAAATGCTTGTAAAACATTTTAGAAGCAAAATTTCAAGGAATGTATGTTATTTCATATTCCGGAGAAGCTTTACATTACGAAGTGTTGCTCTTATACAGACATATATTCTTGTATAGACTTAGAATACCAATATAGGATGTAGTTGCCTTACTGTGATTTTTCAATCACTTATTTGTTCCTGTTTTGTTTTTCCTGTAGTGGAATGCTTATTACAGTGGTGAGTGGACACATTCTGTTTCTGTGTCTTGGGTACCTCAAAATTATTTAAAAGCACTCACAGCATCTTTTTCTTTCCTTTTATCTGTTTGGCATTTGATTTCTTAAATGAAGTTATTGTCTTTGGTTGAACTTTACAAACTGTCTGTGTTCTGGACTTGAGAGTATATGTCGTCAAGAGTGGCTTGTTTCTGGACTTGAGAGTATATGTCGTCTAGAGTGGCTTGTTTCTTCATCTCATTGTCATCATTGCTTCTAGCAGTATCTTCAGACTTTACAGCACATACCTGTACTTGCACCATTAATGCTTTTAATAAACACAATGGAAGATCACCCAAGACTTGATTTAGTCTGATAACCACCTTCAAACACTGCAGACAGTGCCCACCTAGCTCTAACCCTCCTAAGTCTCCACAGTGCAGTCCTCATGATTCATCCCCAGGAGACAATTAGAGTACCCCATCCAAACAGACCCTGAAAGATCGCAGGTGGTAAAACTCAGAGATCAGCACCTTTGTCAACAAGGCTACAGAGTGTCTAGGTTGCAGGGCCCTGGGGAATTGTTTCTGAGGGTTTGGGCACTTCGAGAAGGTTGGAGAGAAAACAGATTTGTAAATATCTCACAGTGATGTCAGGTCAATTGGGAAAGTAATGTGTTCTGCAAGTTTAAGTGGTGAAGGGGGTGTTCCTAAAAACTATAGTTGCGAGTTTCAGGGTAAGATGAGTGTTGATATCTGATCCCTAAGTGTTCTTTGGCAGGGAAATATAGTTCGAGCACATTATTGGTGTTCATGAGTGAGTGATGATGGGGTGTTTCAACTCTACTTGTTATATATTGTAGGACATTGCTTTGTGTCTCTGCAGTGTATATGTGAACATAACATCAATGATAAAACCCACAATTAAGTCATAATAATGAAAGTTGTTTTAAAAGCACATTAAAAACCCAGCTGAAACAGGTACTTTTTATTAATTTTGCACACAGCAAATAGTGTAGTGTTTTTCTTGATAATTATTTTTTGTTCATTTAAAATGACAAAACCTTTAATTGGAGCTCCAAATATCCATGTCTGTCTTCCACTCCATCCTGTATTACCAAGATTGTCCTGTATGTAAAACAAAGCCAACAGTGGTGGTCTTGTCCAAGTCACTATCTTGATGGAATGCTGTAACTGACCTGTGTATAAACAAGTCACTAGTGTTGTTAAAACAAACATATCCAAGTCTGTGTCTTCTTACAACATAATTGATAGCAATCTGAAGGAAAGTTGGTATTCAGGGTAAGCAATCCACTTCCAACCACAAGGCCGCACGGCAGAGAGAAATATTGTCTTTAGTGGTAGATAGCATCTAGGCTGGTTGTAATTGCCTCTGTCAAGCCCCCTGACCAATTGTCAATTACATGTTGATTTCAGCAGTGTGAACTGCAGGGAAAACCTTCTGTAATAAGATCCCTAGCATTAGCTCATCAGTGAATGGTAGTTTAACTTGTCTACACTATCACAATTTAAAAGTTCCTTTCAAATCATTTAAAGAACTTTGACAATATGTAGATGTGTTTTTTTGTATGGTTGTATGGTAAGGAATAAAAGGACTGTTTAAAGACTACATATTTTACCATAACTGTAAATACAATGACAGAGTACACTGAGACCTATTGCTATGGTCTCACCTGGTCGCTAATGGAATGACCATTGTAAACAACACTGCAATGAAATATGTAGAGAGATAACCAGGAGGTGGATGGACAATGGCTTTCCTGCAGTAATTTCCGCATGAGAGTGTCTGAATCAGTAATGACATAGTCAACAAACAGCTGGGGATGACAGTAGAAGCACTGGAGGAAGGGTCAGGCATTGATGATGGCAGGGACAGGGAGGGAGGCAGGGAGGAGAAAAGAACCCCAAAGGATTTATATTTAAACATTCATATACTTAATACCAGATATATGTTAGTACTTACATACATAGAACTAAATGTTACTGTAGAATTTGCCGTAAGAACTTTACCATGCCAATACTATAATGCATATTATTGCATGAAAATTAAAATAATAAGGATTAATATTTGTTTAGATATTGGTCAGTATTGTGACATTTGTTATATATGTTACAGGTTATCGAATGGCGAGATGCCCAGAAGCGAGCTGATGACTTCCACAGTACCAGTTCCGGTGAAATAACTACTGGTGACAGTGGACATGGAAGTGATGAAGATTCCCACATCCTCTCCGAGAGATCCACATCACCGCAGAAAATACGCCTAGGTATTGGTGCCATAAAGCACCAGACCAATCCGGGGCAGATAACGCCACCAAGGTCAAAGGTGTCACCTATAAAAGGAACTAAGATGGCAGTTCGGGGTAGAAATGGTCAAGTGCTATATCCATCACATTTCAATTTAACATCAAAGAAAGACAATGTTGTACAAGGTGGTTTTAATCCGTACACGTTACAGACTTCTCCACGGAGTGAGATTGAGGACGGTGACGACACAACAACATCCGGCAGCTACAGCATCACTCTGGATGACACCAAGTCGGAGCTGCCAGAGTTTGATTATATACCAGTCAAAGATGTGTATGTGTGACTGAAATCTTGTGTGAGTCATGTGACAGTCACGTGATATTTTATCCTGGAGGCTGAGAATACTTCAGAACTTTCCATAGACTGACACTGCAAGAGATTATATACAAGAGTATTCCACAGACTAGAGATTTTCAGAAGATCTGAGATGTTTATATGGAATTATGTCTCAGTATTGTTACCTGTGATCATAAAGCAAGTGTTGCTCAGTCTCTGCCAGAAGTAGGCCACCAGAACAGTCTGCCTTCAAACTTCAAAACTGTCAGTAAGGAAGGAGAGTTTGTCGAGTTGAAGGCGACCACGTTGTCCTGCCCAGTGTTACTGAAGGGTTACACTTGATGACTGTGTTACAAGTGCCTTGTGTAGTGTCCGTTGACCAGTGTTTCCCCAGTCATGTGTTGTTTCTAGTCGTCCTTCCTGCTGAAAGCATTAAATCAAAATGTGTATTTATTTATATCATTTCTGCATTTTTTATGTTGAGACTGAGCGAGAGTGAGATACACTTGACAGAGATTTTGTACTCATCATCACTGCTCTCAGCATCTTGACAGCAACCTCAGCCACTGTACTTAAACTTCACTGCTTCATTGTGCAGTGTTGTACTATATTGCATCGCAAACTTGTCATGGCCTGTCTGTTTTGGGCATCTGTTGAAGTTTCCGGGGATTGTTTGTGTGAGTAGGGGAGGGTTATGGGAGTGGCATCAGATCATCAACTTCTACAGGGAAGATGTTTGTGTTACAGTGATGATAAAAAGTTGCAACATTTTTGAGTGGTTATCATCCTGGTATATAGAAGAAAGTGCCTTAAATTTTTGAAAACTTAGATTTATGACTTTGCTGAAATCCAAGGACTGTAGCAACTTACAAGTGTACAATACATCATGCTGACCTGTGTGGCTGTCACTGAGCCCTAGTGGGATCAGAGCAAGCTGTCTGAGAGAGTTGGCTTCAACTGTGTGTACTTGTGTTTACTGGAGTATTTTCTTATCACTTGTTAAGCTTGAGAAGTCAGATTCACCTGTATATATGTCCATATTTGTTGAGTTATTGTGTAAATAAAAGTTATCTGGACAATGAATATGTGAGTATGTTTTACCTTGGATGAAATCTCTCTGATGGAGCTACAACCATCAGGATGCACACAAGGTCTGAGCTCTGATGGAGCTACAACCATCAGGATGCACACAAGGTCTGAGCTCTGATGGAGCTACAACCATCAGGGTGCACACAAGGTCTGAGCTCTGATGGAGCTACAACCATCAGGATGCACACAAGGTCTGAGCTCTGATGGAGCTACAACCATCAGGATGCACACAAGGTCTGAGCTCTGATAGAGCTACAACCATCAGGATGCACACAAGGTCTGAGTTCTGATGGAGCTACAACCATCAGGATGCACACAAGGTCTGAGCTCTGATAGAGCTACAACCATCAGGATGCACACAAGGTCTGAGTTCTGATAGAGCTACAGCCATCAGGATGCACACACGGTCTGAGCTCTGATGGAGCTACAACCATCAGGGTGCACACAAGGTCTAAGCTCTGATAGAGCTACAACCATCAGGGTGCACACAAGGTCTGAGTTCTGATTGAGCTACAACCATCAGGATGCACACAAGGTCTGAGTTCTGATAGAGCTACAACCATCAGGATGCACACAAGGTCTGAGCTCTGATGGAGCTACAACCACCAGGATGCACACAAGGTCTGAGCTGTGATAGAGCTACAACCATCAGGGTGCACACAAGGTCTGATTTCTGATTGAGCTACAACCATCAGGATGCACACAAGGTCTGAGTTCTGATTGAGCTACAACCATCAGGATGCACACAAGGTCTGAGTTCTGATGGAGCTACTACCATCAGGATGCACACAACGTCTGAGCTCTGATGGAGCTACAACCATCAGGGTGCACACAAGGTCTGAGTTCTGATTGAGCTACAACCATCAGGATGCACACAAGGTCTGAGTTCTGATGGAGCTACAACCATCAGGATGCACACAAGGTCTTAGTTCTGATTGAGCTACAACCATCAGGATGCACACAAGGTCTGAGCTCTGATAGAGCTACAACCATCAGGGTGCACAAAAGGTCTGAGCTCTGATGGAGCTACAACCATCAGGATGCACACAAGGTCTGAGTTCTGATGGCGCTACTACCATCAGGATGCACACAAAGTCTGAGCTCTGATGGAGCTACAACCATCAGGGTGCACACAAGGTCTGAGTTCTGATTGAGCTACAACCATCAGGATGCACACAAGGTCTGAGTTCTGATTGAGCTACAACCATCAGATGGCACACAAGGTCTTAGTTCTGATGGAGCTACAACCATCAGGATGCACACAAGGTCTGAGTTCTGACCACACAGTCTCCTTTCAATTTCTGTTATACAGACCAAGCTGAAATATTTATCTTTTCTGATCTTTTAGGGCTATATGTCACACTACCAACAAATTATGTAAGACTCTACACACCAAGAGTCTTGACATTAAATCCACCAACTAACTACTGCCTGCATGTGAACAAGACTAGGGCAATACCTGGGTAAAGCCCAATCAGTAGCAGAACCTTACAGTACTGTTTGAGGGAGCACAACATCCAATGGGACCTCCAGCATTCTGCTACACGTACTGTTTCGCTATCAAGTACACCTAAGGAGTAAATGAGTTGTGTTTTACACCCCTTTTAGCAATAATCCAGCAATATCACAGTGGGGGACACCAGAAATGGGTATCACACATTTACCCATGTGGGGAATGGAACTGGGGACTTTGGCCTGATGACCAAACACCTTAACCACCGGGATGCCCCACCGCCCCTATGCCTGTGGAGATGTAGACTGCATCTGATTCAGACAGCAAGTCTGGGGCTGTTCACTGTTCTTCACAGGTGAGTGAGGTTTCATCTGGACTGCTCTCATGGTCAAAAGTCATCCAGGAAAACTTGTCAGGGAGTTTAGGTTGGCCAACGTGATAGGTAAATTTTAATGGTATGAAAGAACCAATCACATCATTGTTTATGGCAATGAGCGAGGCATACTGCCGAGAAGACACGGCTTGAGATCATGTTCTACCCTTTGGAAAATGCAGGGAAGTAAGGACATTCCAGAACAATCCTTAATTTCTGGCCTAGCACTGAGGCAATCTGGACTTGCCAAATCATTCTAGGCATCAGTAAGACTAGAGATGACCAAATGTTATGTATGATCAACTTCTTTATTTTAACAATGACGACGTGAGTCTGGTAGACTCTGAGAGAGTAGATGTAAACTTTTTGATGCAGCCTAACCTTGCTGTTCCTCCCATACCCAAATGTTCTACAGAATTCTCACCCATAGAACATGTTAGATGGACCGACGCCTAGGACAGGACCAGAATTAGTCGGTAATGCTGTCCAACATTGTCATGGGTTTGTTAAGATAGGACACTGATCTGATATCATGTTGCTGTTTTCATTTACGCGAATTTCCAAGAAGCAAAGTTATTTTTTCGTTAGTATTGACAGATACTCCACTCACTCCCGTGCAACCCGGGTGAGTGAGTGATTCTGCATTCCACGCACCTTGTACCAGTGTTAGAAATCGACCCGGGCCTTCCCAGTGACGAGCGGAAGCCCAATCATTTTTCAAAACGATCCTGCACTTGGAAATGAAGCTACATGTCTGAAACAGAATCACGTTCCCTAAACAATGCGTATTTAAATTAATCCAATCTCAGACTCTAGCCAAAGAAATATGATTATTCTTATCCTACTGAGTTTCAGCTCCTGGGTCCAAGCACTTGTTACGAAACTCAGCAGAATCAGCCTTCAGTAGCAATGCTGTAATAACGGTGTGTGCCTATAGTCCGCCAGCTCAAAGTTAGTCTCGGAATATACAGCCACACACAAAGGTTTCCGTGTGCAGTTGGATCAAGGAAGTAGTAAACCCTGGGGATAATCCATATTACCACAAGTAGAACTGTGCACGTGGATTAACAAATGTGGATTAATATAACAAATCTCGCCACGGATAATCTTGCCTTATGCATTTTTAGTAGAATACATAATACCAATATCTCAAAACACTTTGATATATTTAGTAATACAAAATATTATATTTGTTAAGCAAGCGCGGGTTGTCTGGGCCACGTGGTGTTTGCACCAACCCTTCAAGCATGTCGTCACCCAAACCTGGAGTACCCATTTTGTAGTTGTAACACCCTGCCTTGATAGGGGTGATACCGACTGCAGTCAGTCCACGAATACGTCAAAATTAAAAAAGCTTTGACCATAGGATTGAAACAATGAGTTCATCCCGTGACCTAACAGTATTTTCCAGAATTTCACTTGTCCAAAATGTATTTCATAAAGCTCACTTTGACCATTAAATCTCCACGGTATAATAAATATCAACATCAGATGCAAGAATCGCTTCTTGAGGAAGTCGTTGATGTCTATATACTCCTCGTCAAGGACGGAACTGGAGCCTGAGTTTCAGTAAATGGTATTTCAGAACGACTAAACTTTGATCATATTCCTACATATTTTATAGTATTAACATTAGAGCGTTAATCTTGCGGCAGAGGTTTAAATCGTTTTGGTTCCCTGCCGTTAGACTAACAACTAGTCTCTGAAATGAACATATTTTACTGAAAAAAAGTTCATAGTAAAAAAAATATATATAATGAAAAGGAGCCCTGAGACTTTCTTCATTTTCAGAAGCTGAGGAAATCTAGACTTGCCACATTTTCTAGACTTGTGTGGGCTTTCTTGGATATATTTGCTTCAGGGCTGTACGAGAGACTACCCTGCCGTGTGCCTCCAACAGTTTGTCTAGTATAATGGTCACCGTGGAGCTAATACCGCACTGCTGGTGGGCCTACTTGTGTTGTACGAATGGGTCCAGTGTTACAGATTATGTCTGTCATGATATGATGTGATGGTGTGATGAAGGTTTTGTTAGTTGAGATCGAGTTCTTTATGTCTTCCCTCGATATAAGAGTAGGGATTCTCTTGATAATTACTCTGAAGCCCATGATAGGTTTTCTACTGTCAGACTCGGGGAAAGTCAGATGTTTTCCGATGAGAAATGCAACAGTTTGCTCAGTAATATAAACTATAAGTTATCCTGATCGGTATTTAAGTGACTTTCCATAATGTCTCCTTCGTTAGACCCATGAAGGTCCAGGTTAGAATTGATCTTCAGTTACCCATGCTTGTCGTAAGAGGCGACTAACGGGATCGGATGGTCAGGCTCGCTGACTTGGTTGACACTTGTCACCGTATCCCAATTGCCTCTGACGATGTTCATGCTGTTGATCACTGCATTGTCTGGTCCAGACTCCATTATTTACAGACGGCCGCCAAATAGCTGGAATATTGCTGAGTGTGGCGTAAAACTAAACTCACCCACTCACTCACTCTCCTACTATACCGGACAAACAACAGCTTGAATATGCTAGTGCTGTGTTGTCTCCAGGTGATGCCAGCGATGTCACCCCACGTGGTGATGATGTGTACGACGACGACGATGACGATGGCAATGAAAATATTCATGTACCAGTGATATATTTAAACGGTTTTGATGATATAACAAGATGTATTCATAATAGCCCAATTGCTGAAGATGAAACTGTAGAAGCTGCTATAGTTACTAACAGACCATCGGGAATTGATAAAGTAATATCGGAATTGTTGAAAAGTACATCTGGTCTTGTACTGCCTTATCTATTGCTTTTTTTTGAATAATTTATTGGACAAAGGATATGTTCCAGAAAGGTGGGTAGAAGGCATTGTTAAGAAAGTGGAAAGTAAATTCTCTAAATGGTGATAGGGCAATTTCTGTATCACGTACATTTATCCTGAATTATTGTTTTATATGTTTGGGTTGATGCATAAAAAAATGCACTTTCAACCACTTTTGATATATTTGTACTATAGTTGTCTGCCATGCGATACTTTTTCTATAAAAAAGCGAATGAAAGATTTATGTTGTTTTCATCGATTATACCAAAGTAATCTGTTAAATTAATCGGTTAAATTGTGGAGCGTACTACAGAGAAGGGGTGTTTCATCCAAAACGGTAACATGTAGTAA